ACCCAGCCCTGCAGCCCCTCCCACCCCCCCCGATCACCGCCACCCCCGCATCACCATGCTCCGACGCTGTTCTGCCCATCCCCTCCTCTCTCTACCCCGCCCCGCCCCGCGCGGGGCCTGGTGTAGTGCGGGGGCGCGGGAAGCCCTAGGGTGTCGTCCGCGGTTGTTCCGGATGCCAAGCGGAGGCTCTGCCCCGCCAGTCCCCGACCGCACACTCCACACATTCAACATTACGGCGCCGCAACAGAGGATTCTTTCTCGTATCACTCACAAGTCTCGTTCAGTCAAGATTCAACTGCTAAATTCATTAATCCCCAAAATGTTTTTCCCCGGGAGCTCTTCCTCCGCTGGATGGCGAGATCCGGCGCCGACCTACCGTCAGTTAGCGGTATTTTCCCCCAACCAGGTATCTCCCACCAATAGGGCACCGCCCCAGCCGGGACAAGTTCTAAGCTCACGGCCGATGTCCCGGCCTTTGTGCTAGTGTAGTGCATGTTAGTGTGCGTAAGAAAGGGGTGAGGATAGGACAAGAAGTGGAAGGAAAGATCACATGCTGTCCACGGCCCGTTTGTTAGGGTACTGCACTAGCATTCGCCTGGTGTAGATCGGAGACACTACCGATCAGAGAAGCCGGCCTCTCGAATTATCCTCCAGATAGCGACTGAATTCGACCTCGCTGACAAGCTGATGTTTAAAATCCTGCTGTTCGAACCCAGAACCTCCCCGTCAGAGACACATCTCTTGATGCTTTGAGCCACCTCTCTCGGTTCACACATCCAACATCATGGCGCCACAACCGCCGATTCGTACTTCCTATTATCTGAAAGATTGATAAGTGTTACATGGCACGTTAATTACTAAGGCCATTAGTCCCATATTGTAGTATATATTTTTATGGTGGTGGTGATCCTACCACGTTGGATAGACAGATGCAACGGTGACATACACGTACACCTGCAGGGTTTTCCCTCTTGAGTATCTCCCTGATATAGTGTTGTCCATTGAGAGACTAACATATAGACAGATGTTTTGAGGAAGAGCTTTGAAGATACAGATTTTTGTCTTAAACAAAATCTGCTTTAAAAATTAATTTTTAAAAAAGGTAATCACAATTGTTTGAAAAAAATACGAGTAATAATCACGTAATTTCAGCTTGAAGTGAATGCAATTTATAAAAAAAAAAACATTTTCTCAAAAACTGCTTCAATTTTTTTTCCTTTATATTTATTTTTTTCACAGATAGAACAAGGAACGCTTAAAAACAATGGCACAGTTCATATTTTCGTTGAACAATCTGAATGTTCGAAAATTGCAAAAGTTAGAAACAATTGATAAAATAAATGAATTTAAACTGTAATTTTGTATAATCCGGCGGCAGCTAACAGCACAAATAAAATAATTCAACCAACATGGAAATTATATGATAATAGTAATAATAATAATAATAATAATAATAATAATAATAATCGTACATCATGATAATGTGAGAAACAATGTGCTATTATAACTCTAGTAGTTTCCACATTCTGAGCCTCAACTAATTCAACCTTAATCTTCATTTGGTGTTCTAGGCTTGGTGTCGTTATAACTGTATTTTGGGATTACCGCCACGACAAATTCCTGTCGTGTTCGCCTGCTCTTCAGACAGCCAGAAGACGCGTGAGAAAGATCGCTTTGTGTGCAAATGGGTGTTTTCCGCTGTCCGCGTTGCGAAATTCGCACGTGCCATCGGAAACGTTCGCACGGAACGAGAATTCCAGCACGTTCTTCCGAACAGGTGAACGACGTTTTCCTCGAGGAAACATGGCCGGCGCGCGGTTCTCCAGTGAGTGGGTTTGTGAGTATCCTCTAGACGTTGCATGATCATTCAAAATTCTGCATTGGAGTTCCGTTTTCGATGCATTTTTACAGAGGACTTTGAACGTAGTTGGGGAGATTAGTGTTCTGTTTTCTTCGTAATTTGTCGAACCTTGACCCGAAAAGAAACTAGACGGGCTACAACAGCACATAATTTCTCCCATTATTTCTAACTCTTGCAATTTTCGAAAATTCAGAATGTTTAATGAAAATTATACTTGCGCCGTTCTTTTAAGCGTCCCTTCACCTATTTGTGGAAAACATGTATAGAAAAAATTAAAACGGTTTTTTAGAAAATATTTTTTAAGTAATTTTCATTAAATTCAAACAGAAATTGCACAAAAACTACGAGTTTTTTTTCAAAAAATTAAAACCTTTTCATGACCTTCTTTAAAATAGAATTTTTTTGAACGAGTTTTGTTTACGACGAAAAAATCTACCCAAAAATTTGTAGTTTTGCAATATTAACCATTTGCAATTTTCGAAAATCAAGTGTTTGTCAGAAATGGAACTAGCACAAACTTTTCTACGGTCATTTGATACATACGACGAGCAAATTTAAAGAAAAAAGTTGAAGCCTTTTGTGAGACAATATTTGTTTAAAAATACCTTAACTTCACGCAAAATGCACTACTGATAATTTTGTGTAGTTGTACGTAACATCATTTTAAGATCTGTATTAGGAGAACATATTTTATTAAAGAAATAGTCATTTTCAATATTTTAGTTGCACGAAGATTCCGAAATAAAGTTTGATTTTTAGCAATCTTTAATAAATTAGGGATTTAAACCGGGCAGACGTTTCGCCATTAATCAATTTTTTGGTATCATTTGGACACCCATATCATGAATTCTGTCTTCACAACGAGTTAGAGTTATTTTACTGTATATAGAAGCAAGATTTGTCCATATTTTCGTTACGAAGACATTAAAAGTTTTCCTTTCAAAAATATTCGCCGTATTCCGGCGCACCATTACACAATACTTTCTCTCTTTACGAAATAAAGGCGAGAAAGTAAAAAGGTGGCAATCACAAATAGTCGAAAAAAATACCGTGAAAATATAAGAAGCACAAAAACAATTAAAACGAAATCAAATACTTCAATTGAACATAAAGGTTATTGAGAAAAATAAATAATGGTCAATGAAAAAATTGAATGTAACGAAAAACAATGGTAAGAATATTAAACGTCGAATATCAGCTAACAACAAGCAAGAAAATGGAAGACAAATAGAGAAACTTCTTCATACTTTCCCCCTGTCACTTATTTAAAAACTGAACCTTTATCTAGAGGTAGGGAAAACAATGTGTGTATCGACGAAGGCGAAGGAAGATTCAAAATAAAAATGAATGAAATTCATAAGAATACACAGCGAGACAAAAACTGAAGGACGTTTGGGACAAATTCAAAAGATAAAGTGAATAAAAGAAACCAATCCCCTTCTCCTGCAGATGGTCTGGAATTTTGCAGGCAGTGTAGATCTCTTTTAAAATCTTACGAAACCAAAGATCTGGGTCGCTTTATGACAGGTCGTTTTCTAAAGTGAAGAAGACCATTTTAGATTCCCCTAACTCATCAACTATGCGAAGGAGGTCCAAGAACTACTAGAATTGTACAACCTGAGCATGAATTGTACAAATTCAAGATGAAGTGTACTGAAAGAAATCGGGTATGTTAAGAATGTATAAAAATACAACTCAAAAATATTCATAGAACACCGAGAATGTGTCCCTAGACGAATCGCAAACAGATAATCACAACCATACCTTGTCGACCCCGCCAGTCTCGCAAACACAATTCAAAATCTATTTGCAGAAATCACTTGAATGTCCATCACTATCCCATTTACCTCGCAAATGGAACTAAGCTACTCCTTAAGGAGGCAACAAAAAGAAGCACAAGAATCAGAGCTGAAATTGCATATAAAGACGTCGGAGAGCGCACTTCAGCACCGAGCGTCATCGAATGGAGTCAGGCTGCTACCTTTGTGGAGTCTATTAGCGATACCAACAAGGATAGCAGATTGTAGACAAATACTGAATCGTACACAGTCTCGAGCTGACTTAGTTTTCAGCTGACATAAGTCTCGAGCTGACTTAAAACATCAAGCTTTCATAAAAAGTCTCGAAGTGACTCAAAACTTGAGCTGACACAAGACTCGAGATGAATCAAAGTCTGGAGATGACTCAAAGTCTAGAACTGACTCAGTGTCGAATTGACACGGACAGCCTCGACCCTAACAGAAGGAGAGATCGTCGAAGATGACGTTTGCAGCTCTTCTCTGGAACATACGAATGGAGTCGATTCGATCCCTTGAGGAGGGCTATTAGCGATGGCAAAAGAGGGAAACAATTTGTAGATAAACACCGGATCTCCTTCCGGTTTCTAGATTACTCAAACCCAAGCCGACAAACAGTCCCGAGCTCACGAAGTCTCGAGTTGACAAATTCTCAAGCAGACAAAATCTTGCGCTGACATAATCTTTAGCTGAATTAAAGTCTTGAGCTGCCACCGTCAGACTCTCCCTAACCAATTCGTCGACGACAACGACGGGGACCGGCTCGTACCTGGAATGGAGGCGAATTCCTCCTTCGTGACAGATAATAGCTATGCCAAAAAAGGGACACAAATTGTATAAAAACGGGTTCTTACGTGGCTCCGAGATTACCCAAATCCAAGCTCACATACAGTTTCAAGCAGACAAAGTCTCGAGCTGACATAAAATCTCGAGCTGCCACCGACAGACTCTCCCCAACCAATTCGTCGACGACGACGATGTGGCCTGACCGTCTCTTACCTGGAACTTGCGAATGAAGTCGAGCTGACTCAAAGTCTCGAGCTGACTCAACGTCTCGAGCTGACTCAACGTCTCGAGCTGACTCGAGACGACGTGGGCTGACCGTCTCTTACCTGGAACTTGCGAATGGAGTCGAGCTGTTCCTTGGTGGGGTCGTGGGGCGGCTGCGGCTGCGGCGGCGGCGCGGGGGCGGCGGCCGCCACGGGCGGGGCGGGGATGAGAGGCGCGGCGGCAGCTGCGGGGGCGGCGCGGCCGTTCCGAGGCGGCCGTCGCGCTTCGATGCGCAGGTTGGTCGCGGCGAGGTGGCGGCACCGGCTTGCCCCCGCCGCACCCGGCCCCGCCCCCGCCCCGCCCGCGGACCCGTTGCTCACGGGCGACGACGGAGACGATGACGACGAAGAAGAAGAAGGCGGCGGAGGCGGCGCCGGCGACAGGTTGGCGTACGTCGGCGACACCTGCGCCACAGCCCACTCGCCACAGTCAGCGCCCGTCACCGCCACACGCAAGGGGTTAGTCGCCACAGACCCGACAGAGAGAGAGACGGCCAAAGAGCAAGAAGTTCGCTATGAGTTTTTATCCCGCAGCCAGGGAGGAAGAGATCCGGACATCCGAAGAGATAAGATGCCATACTCGTCGGGGTGCATGTTAGTCACAGTTTTCCACAGCCAGAGGGAAAGAGAGCGAGATCCAAAGAGGAAGAGAGCCAGACATCCAAAGAGACAAGATCCCCAAGTACTCGTTGGTCTTCGTGTTAGTCGCAGGTGTCCCCAGCCAGAGGTGAAGAGAGTTATATCTCCAAAGAGAAAGAGAGCCAAACATACAAAGAGATAAGAGCCCACACTTGTAGGGCTCTGGATTAGTCATAGGTTTACACAGCCAGAGAGAAAGAACAAGACATCCAAAGAGAAAAGAACATGTACTCATCGGATTGCTCGTTAATTGCAGTTTCCACAGCCAGAGAGAAATAGAACCCAAGATTCAAAGAGAAAGAGGATAAAGCATCCAAAGAGTTAAGAACCCTCACTTATCGGGTTTCAGGTTAGTTGCAGGTATCTACAGCCAGAGAGAAAAAGAGCTCGTGATCCAAAGATAAAGACATCCAGAGATAAAGAGTACCAGAGATTCAAAGACACCAATCACCATATCGTTTCGTATTTTAGCAGGCTTCTACAGTCAAAGACATGAAGAGAACAGGAGACCCAAAGACCAAATAGACATGCTAACAAGAAAAATGTTGACGAGATATTTACCATTTCAAAGCCAAGAGAAATGCATTCAGTAATCCAAGAAGCAAATACACTTGAAGTTTAGCGTGCTGATTCGTAGGATCTACTTACTAACGACAAGAAGTAAAAATTACATCAATGTACTAATTACGTTTCTCTTGCCTCACTAAACTATTTTAGAGCCTCAGCCCAGAACCTTATATACTGGGTCAGTTGCACATTTCTAAAACCAAGACGTAATAAATCCCAAAATCCAAAAAGTAAAAATGTTACTTGCATGCTTATAGATGTTGCCCATTTCCAAAGTCAAAGATAATACGATTTCATGCTGATTAGTTAGAAGTATTTGTCAAAGAGATGTTTCCTGATACGGTAAGTTTCCCTCATCCTTGAACGAGTGCTGAGAAGGCCCCTTGATTTTGCTTCTAGACATAATGTAACTTCACTATCTGTGCACGCTTTCTAGAATTCAATGAGTAATATAATTATTCAAATTAAGTCTCCTAGTTCTTGCTGCACTAACTTAATTCCTTTATGAAAGGCTCGATGAGGGATAACAGCCAAAATCTCTATCTTTTTTCTTTAAAAATAGTTTTTATTACAAGGAAACTAATGTTTTCTTATCAATTTTTACCAAAACGCTTATTTCCAACTGCATTCCTAATTCAACTTGAATATGTAGGTTAGGGTAGAGATCCCAGTATTTAAGAAAACGTATACAGAATTTACTTCTTCCCATAGTATCTCACAAAGTTATAAACATTGTTTTTGACGTTAAATAAATAAATTTAAAGCATGAAAATAAAGAAATGAACATAAATTTAAAGAAAAGAATAAACAGAATGTTAAAACTGGTTCATCAATGCACTGATTACTTGTTTTTTGCTCTTGAGAGCCTCACGGTCTCCTTTGTTTGTTAGATATCGTTGTTATATTGTTTGTAGGTAGATATCGTTAAAAAGATTTCCAAAGCTAAAGGGAAATAAAGTGAGGAGTCCCCAAAGCAACCTATTGTTTTCATGCAGATTCGCGTTACATCTACTTTGAGAGGAGAAGGAGTCAGGATTTGGTCATCAATGGTACCATATCATGCTTGAATTAAATGGGAAGTTAATTTGACACATTACAAACTTGAAATTATCCTAACGTATTGTCCATACCCGAGACAGATCTAATGTTCCCGGATCATCAACCATAAAGCTATCTTGTACGGATTAATTTGAATAAGAAGTTGTTAGCAAGACAGAAGAAGAAATGACATGCTATTATTAAGAAAGACTTTCCATAGCCCAAAGAATCGAAAGTATTGAAACTAATCCGTCTAGATAGTGTCTATTGCAATCAACACTAGATTTCCCACACCTATATGAAGTATCAATAACCGTACATCATAACATTGATCAAAACATCAAACATCGATAATGATTTATCTAAATTATCGATAGCAGTTGATATCGAAAGTACTTACAACAATCGATCAGTCAATAACAGTGTACAATCGAGACGTCGTTCGTAATTGAAGTTAAATTACATGGAAGATTTTGCAACCTCGAAGCGTAAAGCAATCGAAGATCTATCGATCATCTAACACAAATTTTTCATTAGTGTTGTGCATCTGCGAGTGCGCAGAAAATCGATAATACTCTCGCTTCGAGTTTGCAAAAACTCCCCAATGATACTAAACGATGTATAAAATATTGATGCTAATAGATATTTAAAATGTCGATGTACACTGGTGTGGGTATTTTTCATACCAAACACTTGACATTTTTACAGGATGAATCGCCTTAGCGTTTAGCGCTTGTGCGCATGCGCAACTTCAACTGCGCATGCGCACAGTCAAACACGGTGAACACTGGGGCTACTTAATGCTTAAGGCTGTACAATAGGTATCAACTATCGAAAGTGTTAATGGTATACCAACATCAGTGCAATTCGATATCAAAAGCATCGATAAATCTGTTGATTATATTGCTGGAGATGTTGATATCCTCTAATGAAATGCGAAAAAAGATGTGAAGGTATCAATATATTTAATACTTCGATCGCGTAAACATCATCAAAGCTAAACTGAGAGTATGTACCAGGAATTACAAAAAATGATATGAAAATGAGTTAATGAAGAATTGAATTAATATGAGAAGTCACCTTAGGATTCCGTCATTATACTTAATATCACAATTTGTAATTAATTGGACATATTTTAATTTCGTACTTCTCAATTACATAGATTCAATTTTTGATACAGGATGGGTTTTAATCTATTTGAGCAAATATCCCGAAAACTACACATAGGATAAAGAAATGGGTAATAAAAGTTGTTTGATTTCGCAGGGGATATTTAATGATACCAAACTCCCCCCCCGTACCCACACCAATATCCACGTACCCCTTTAATCCCATAGATTAAAATGGCCCGTCCTGTATATTTAATTCAATTTCACCAACTGAGTTTCACTGAATTTCATATTTTTATTTGTATCTTTGTAATTTCTTGTACATATTTAGGATTGATAATGATGGATAAGCGACGGAAAATATCTTGCGTATTACAAATATTGATACCTAGACAGCATCTTTCTTTTCGAATTCGATGAAATGGGTCATATGGACTGAAGTCTTTTTGAACGAATTCGATCAAATCTAAATGTGCCGTACGGAATGAAATCTTTCTGTCCTAATTCGATCCAATCTAAATGGCTCGTATGGGCAGAAATATTTATTTCCGAATACGATCCAATCTAAATGGCTCGAATGGACTGAACTATTTCTTTCCGAAATCGATCCAATCTAAATGGCTCGTCTGGACAGAAATATTTCTTTCCGAATCAGATCCAATTTAAATGGCTCGTATGGACAAAAATCTTTCTTAGCGAATTCAATCCAATCTAAATGGCTCGTAAGGAGATAAAACCTTTCTTTCCGAATCCGATCCAATCTAAATGGTTCGTATGGACAGAAATATTTCTTTCCAAATCCGATCCAATCTAAGTAGCTTGAATGAAATGAAATCATTCTTTCCAAAATCGACCCAATCTAAAAGGCTCTTATGGACCGCAATCTTTCTTCCTAAACCTAAGTGGCTCGCACCGCCTGCAATGGCCGTGCGGGGCCGCTGCTCACCTGCTGTGTCGGGGCGAGGCGCGCGCTGGGCTGCGGCTGCGCGGGGGCGGCGCCGGGTGGCAGCGCCGGCGGCGGCTGCTGCTGCTGCAGGGGGCGGGGCGGCGGGTAGCGCGGGGGCGTCTTGGAGCGCGCCACGAACGAGTCCGGCACGTCCACGGCCATCTCCCTACGCACGCACGCACACATGATGGCTTTGGCATGCCTTTTCTGTCGCTTTGTTACTCTCTCGACCCCCTTCATGGGAAGAGAACGTATTAGAATCGCGCGCGGGAAATCGGCGATTTTACGGCGATTTTACATATATACATATATATACGTATATACATACATACGTATATACATATATACATATATACATATATACATATATACATATATACATATATACATATATACACATATATACACTATGCAATTACGTTTTATTGCATGAGTACATATTTTGAAAATAAGCGACCGTTAGGAGAGAGTTTTCAAATTTGTAATGCTGGAATACAAAAAAGCTCTTATTATCGGAACCTACTAATTATAAAGTGGATAACTTTGCTTTGTTTCTCGTTCATTGAAATGAGCGAATTGAGATCGAAAAATTCTTGCTAAGTTCTTTTTTGTTTACGCCTTCGTTTTGATGATAAAAAAAATGATTCGCGAAATCACTAAATATTACGGGAGTGATTAGTAAGGTTACTTTTGTGCAAAGGTAAAAAATCTGGGTTTTGATAAATGGCTCCCATCGCATTTATCACACATGAATGGATATTAAAAAAGTGGCAGAAAATACCAACAAGAATGGTTAAATGTAATTTTTTGCAAATTTTAAACAGTTTTCTAGATGGAGCTCGAATTTGATGGGAATTTGTTTACGTTGAGAAGTGAGGGAAATGCGTGTTAATTGAATAATAAGTATAAGAATAACAGACATTCAGCTTAAAAATCAGTGTAGGAAATTTTTCGATAGTCGGATTTTCTTTGCCTAATTTAACTGGACTGTTTTAATTTTTTGTTAAGGACATTCACTGTTATTCATATTCACTGTTATTCATTGTTACTGTAGTTCATAATACTCTAAAGTTAATATAATTAATATGGTTGTTTCAAAATCTACAGGGATGGCGGAGAAATTGAGTTATGCAAACGAAAATAAAAGAAGGAAGGATCGAACAAAATTGAGAAATGTGGTGTGGAGAGAGGGGGAAGAGAAGACAGGGAGTCATTCAGAGAGAGTCAAGAGATAGGAGGGACGGAGGAAGAGCGTGGAAGAGAAGGGAGGAAGAGAGAGTGGAGGAAAGTGGAAGAAAGGGAAGGAAGCAAAGAAATAAAAAATAAAAAGGGATACGGCGGAAGGAAAGTAGGAATGATAGCAAGGCTGTAAGAGTGAAGGGATGCAAGAGCACTCGCACGTAGAGAGGGGGCACCAAAGAGAGCACCGAGAGACGTACAAGAGAGCGAGGACGGGAGAATGAATGGGAGGGAGGGAAGCAAAGAGACGTACGAGGAGACGAAGAATGGAAGAGAGGCAATGTGGATGGGTGGGAGGGGAGTGAGTTGGTAAGAGAGTGGAAGGGAGAGAGGGATGGACGCAAAGAGAGCACCAAGAGGCGTAAGAAGAGACGAAGAAGACAGGAACGGTGGTGGGGAGTGAGAGGAGCAAAAAAAAAAATTTGGAGAAGAGAGGGAGTATGGGGAGCAAACGGCATTAGAAGGCTTAAGATGAGCGGGAGGGAGGAAAAGAGAGGGAAGCAAAGAGAGCATCAACAGATGTAAGAAGAGAGGGAGAGAGAAGAGAAAAGAAGGGTGGCGGAAAGTGAAGGAAGCAAACAGAACGTCGAGAGACGTAAGGAGAGAGAGAGAGAGAGAGAGAGAGAGAGAGAGAGAGAATGGGAAGGAGGGAGTGAGGGAAACAAAGAGAGCATTGGGAGACGTAAGAAGAGAGGGAGTGAGAGGAGCAAACAGCATCAAGAGGCGTAAGATGAGCAGGAGGGAGGAAAAGAGAGGGAGGGAAGCAAAGAGAGCATCAACAGATGTAAGAAAAGAGACAGAGAGAGAGAAGAGAGAGGAAGGGTGGCGAAAAGTGAAGGAAGCAAAGAGAACATCGAGAGACGTAAGAAGAGAGAGAGAGAGAGAGAATGGGAAGGAGGGAGTGAGGGAAACAAAGAGAGCATTGGGAGACGTAAGAAGAGAGGGAGTGAGAAGAGCAAACAGCATCAAGAGGCGTAAGATGAGCAGGAGGGAAGAAAAGAGAGGGAGGCGAGCAAAGAGATCAAGAGATGTAAGGAGAGAGAAGAGAGGAAAGGTGGCGGAAAGTAAAGAAAGCAAAGAGAACATTGAGAGACCTAAGGGGAGAGAGAGAGAGGAGAGAGAGGAAGAGAGAGAGGGAGAGAGGGGGAAAGAGATGAGAGAGAAAGAGAGAGAGGGAGAGAGAGAGGGTGAGAGGGGGAAAGAGATGGGAGAGAGAGGGAGAGAGAGGGGGAGAGGGAGAGGGGGAGAGGGAGAGGGGGAGAGGGGAGAGCGAGCGAGCGAGGGAGGGTGCGCAGGGGGCGTGGCCCGGTGCGGCTGACCTGTGCGGCTGCTCGTGGAGGGCGGCGAGCATCATGGCGTGCGCCTGGGCCTCGGCCGGGGAGAGCGCGGCCAGCGGCTGCTTCACCGGCTCCGCGTCCACCACCACGATGCCCCCCGAGCGCCGCCGCGGCCTGCGCACACACACACACCACCACACGTCACAATCCGCGCTCCAAACACACTAATGGATTAAACATCGTTGTTTCTAAACATCGATGCTCGAAATTGAAACACCAATGTTAATCAAACATTGCCCAAGAAAAGTAACACATTAAAGATAGATATTTCTAAACATAGGTACTCAAAAATAAAATATTGATATTGATCAAACATCATCCAAGAATATGTTATTAAATATCGATGTTTCTAAACATTAATGCTCAAAAATTAAAACATTCATGTTTACAAAATATCAACCAAAACTATTGATGTTATTAAACGTCGACGATTCCAAACATCGATGATCAAAATTGAAATATGGGTGCTAACAATACAACACTCAAGAACACTAATGCATTAATCATCGTTGTTTCTAAACATCGATGCTCAAAATTGAAACATCAATGTTAATCAAACATTGCCCATTAAAACTAATACATTAAACATAGATATTTCTAAACATAGATACTCAAAAATAAAATATTGATTTTGGTCAAACATCATCCAATAATATTATGTTAATTAACATCGATGTTTCTAAACATCAATACTCAAAAATTAAAACATTCATGTTTACAAAACATCAACCAAAACTATTGATGTTATTAAACGTCGACGATTCTAAACATCGATGCTAAAAACTTAAACATACATTTTAAGAAAACATCGACCCAAAATCATCGATGTAATTAAACATCTACATTTGTAGAAGTTTTTAACAATTGAAACTCCCGTGGGGAGAGGGGGAATTAATTTGAGATTGGTTTTGTTTAACGATTTAATTAATTGTAATGGCATATTATGAAAAATAATAAATAATAATTGGAAGAGAAGATTGTAGTTTCTGCACCAACATTAGAAATAAATTCTCATTGTTTTTTTAATTGAGTTAATGGTATTACTCAATTGCGCATAATGATAAAATATTACAAATATTAAATGATTTAATAGTATTCCAAACATTCCTAGCTGTCTCACATTAAAAATAATCCTTACGAAAAATTTGTAAATTAAAAACATTTAGAATTTTGTTGTTGTAAGGGAATATCTGCACTTCATTTGGCTCAACTACTGTTGTTTACATGATGTATCATGAACGGGATATCGTTCTAGAGGCAGAAGTTTTGGAAACGTGACTGTTCAAGGGCGCGACTCTTTGAACAAGAGTAACCGTGCGTGTGATCTGGTGGGCGAGCGTGCATGGTGCATGTGAGTTAGCTGGGCAACGCCTATCAAATTATACAACCGAAACAGCGATGACGGATCTAAAAGGAATTCGGAAAGTGCTTCGTGACGTCATCTCTGGATGGAAGCGCTAAGAAATTACTTGTGGTAGGCAATGTAAGATTACGTTTCAACATGTTAAATTATCAATAAGAGGGACATTTGTAATGGTTATAATGTTCGCTGTTAAAGCATGACTACGAGTACAATTAATATTCTTGTTCAGTAGGAAAGAACTTCTACAACAATATGGCTAAACATAAAACCGTTTTCTCTTCACTTGTTACGACATCATATTCAATTATTTCTAACAGCGTTAAAACATGTTTTAAATCTAATGTATATTCCTACAAGTAATCGTATCACCTGGCATGATCACATTTCATCTACTTTCGAAGAGCAACATAACTGCACAAGTGCTTGAAAAATTGTCCCAATAAGCACGCACCAATTTATAATAATCTCTTTTGTGTAGAATCATTTCTGGCCATAAACGGTTTACAAGTCAATCATTAGAGTCATTTCGAAAGTTTTTTTAACTCTAAAAGTGAACATCTGACCAGGCATAGAATATACACTCGTCTCCTTGTTACAGAACGCAATAATTGTATCAAGAGACCTTTAGAAGCGGCAAAGGATAGAGGTAAGACTGGCATAGATGGCTCAGAGCATCAACTTGTCTCTACAGTGCTTCTGATCGGCTAGTTCTGAGGTTCGAGTACCAACAGTGCCAGGAATTTCAACACTAACTTCAACGAATTCAGCCGCTGACAGTTGAAGAATTCCAGTGGCCGGCTGCTCTGGTCTGATTTCTCCGATCAACACCAGCCGAATGCCGGAGCAGTTCTCTAACAAACGGGCCACGGATCCTACGCGATCTTTCCTTCCTCTTCCTTCTCCTATCCTCACCCCTTACTTACACACAGTTACATGCACTTCGCTACCTAACAAGTCGCGAGCTTAGAGCTTGTCCCTTCTGGGGCGGTGCACACTGGTGAAAGATACATGGTTGGGAAAACCCCCAAGACGAGTAGGTTGCCATCCAGCGGGGGAAGTTCATCGCCTCCCCGCGCGATAAAACATACACCACAATTACAGGACCAATGACCGCAGCAGTTGACGCACCCGGGATTCACTAATAGTCAATCAATCGCGTGTTTTGATCGGTGGGGTCTTTAGTTTTCGTGTTCTCCTTGATGAGAATGCCGGAGCAAGAACAGCACGGCTCTTGCCCTCCAATTGCATCAATTTTCCCTACTTACGTAAGGTTCGGAAGTACGGCCCTAACCTTTTTACGAAGTGACCGGAATTTTCGGCAGAAAAAAGATCAACATCCCATAGATAATAGTAATGACACTAATAATAAAAATAATAACACTAATAAAAAATAAGTACAAATATTCGAACTAAGGAACGTTCATGAAAAAGGTATATAGAGAGAGGCTGTGCGAAAGATTTGTACATCGCATTTTATTTACGATCTGTTTCTGGAACAAACCTGATAGTAGTGCAAACAATTAGACAGTTATGAAAATTCCTGAAGACAGTACACTGTCAAAAAAGTCATTAAATTTATTGTAGATTAATGTATTGTACATAAAACTCAATGTACCGTAACTTTGTACATTCAAAATACATTAATATATTTGTACATTAAATATAATGCACAAGTTAAAATTAGAGTATATTTAATGTAGAGGTTCTCCCATTGCCCCTGTCTGTCATCGTTCATATCGTGTGTTCATTATCACCAGTCCATAGATCATTCATTTATTCTTTTCAAACATGACCATACAGCTTTTAATTGTGCATTGTATTGTACAGCAAAAATTTCTGACAGTGATGTTATTTGGCGCGAAATCTAACCACCCAACCCTCAAAAGATACAACACTGCCTGAAGGTTGAGAAAGAATTGACAAACGATAGCCATTGAATTTATATAGAAATACGAAATACTAAAAAATGATAAAATAATGTATTTGCTGTTTGTGGTCTCCAGAAACGAATCAATGAAATTCCCGTAAAGATGTACGTTAAATCAAAAATCAGACAACTCGGGTGGGTGGTCATGGCTGGTTACCCACAGTGCCGTTGTAAGCTAAATACAGAGTCATGTCGAAATACACGTAGTACGTAAAGCTACTCATGTTACACCTCCAGCATTTCGGACGTACCTGAAACACGGCACTAAAACCAGAGGTTCGAACTTCATGTTCTGGAATGAGACTAGTCTGCTTGGCCCTATCGCGATGACACGATTGTGATCGCAGGTATTCCACACTTATCTCTCTCTACGTCACACAAAGAGTTCGCTATCAGCTGTGTAGTTGAAGAGAGAGAGAGTGAGACAGACACAGATAGAGCCCTGATCAGGACCTTCAGAACGACAATGAAGCTTTCTTTGAAATACGCTTGTGTTCACTCGATTGGAATGTGCAACACAAACTCTTCGGGAACTTGCTCAATAATAATTGAGATAAGACATCACTAGAGTCCTATTAAACCTTCATTATTGCAACTGGGGTCTCAGAAAATATACGAAAGTTAAACTCATTCCAGCATATGATAGTTTACTGCAAAAATACTAGTTTTTTGGCAAATAAGGGGTGAATTATTTCGGACTTAAAATAACAACATTGAGTTCTACACAATATAAAACATTTTCAAGACTCGTTATATATTAACAGACATCAAAACAAATCAAACAAACAACAGTGAAAATCTGTACGTAACGAATGGGAGAAGAGCAAATGCTCCTGTTTTCTGGAGGTGTATATCCCTACACTTCGATTATCGTGTCTGATACGTTGAATTATAAATAACGTAAGCAACGCGACTTTGATAACAAGAAACATCTGAGTAAAATGAACTTTTTGCATTGACAAATCAGCTAAAGATTTGATTTGAAAGTACAACCGACGAATAATTAAACTTCATTCCGGGCGCAGCTTGCAAAATGAGAGGTCATGACAATGTAATCTGATAGTGAAGCTATAGTTACTGTCCAGAAGCAAAACAGGCGATGTTATCAGCGTTTTATCAATGAATCATGAGCAATTTGACGAAAAGTCTGATGAAGATGGAGGTCATTGACTCAGAAGCTGATTACTGTATTACAATATATTGTCACTACCATGTTTGTTGTTGTTTTTTTTATATTTTTTTTTAAATTTACGACTCCGGAAGGTAGCTAATGCATTTCAGGTGCACTGAACTGATTCTTCAATGCTCCAGATACAGAAAAAAGAACTGTGATTTACTTTTATTACTTAAAAAACTCACTTACTTGAATTGTTATTTTATATAAATAAATGCACTGAGATACTGTACGAAAATTTGTATTCAATTTTTGAAGTCTTGAAGGGATACTTCTCCGAATTACATGTGATGTTCACCTGTTTCGCGAACTGTCACTTTGTCCCATCCTTACAAAAATCGCTCTATAGGAAAAATCGTATTCTCTTGGTTCGAACACATAAAGAGACAGTGGTGCCATCTGTAGTTATTACCTCATACTTTAACTTCCACAAAATTGTGATTATGGGAATGTTTCATCCACAAAATTACTAGAACGTAAGAACACGCAGCACGAAATATAGATGTACAAAAAACATCGACTTGAATACATCGATGTTGATTCAATTCAATTCAATTGTTTTAGTAATTTGTTTACAGGTTTGTCCACTTACAAATCGATGTTTAAAATTTATATTTTTATACAAACATCGATGTTTTCAAAACATCGCC